ATACTGAAAACACCTTATTGCAAACATACTGCTTCAATTTTACTCACCTTATTTATAGTCCCCAAACAATCCCTTGAGGCAACTCTTATTGTTTCTCTTACCCGCATATAGAAACCAAGGGGAAAATCGATGGCCAAATTAATGCTTGGGTTTTTAATAAATGAGAAGTCTCTGTACAGGCTCTAAAGTAATAGAAAGAAAATTGGGTTAAGTTTGTTAAAAATGGGGCAGTGGGGAGATTTGCCCGTTTGTATAGTCTTTTATAGTGATTGTGGGTCACATATTTACTGAAATATAGAATGCTGACATCAACCAACTAATGCTATAGCTGCTCTTGCCAAGGCATTCCCAGATGCTTGGCTACCAGCATTAAGGGTCTGTGAGTTAAGTGAAAGCCTACGGTAACAAAGGTATGACAATGCATTATTAACACATGTTATAAAGGAAGAGAAATTTAAAATTGTGATCAAATATGTGGAGACAAAGAATATTGCACCAGGAACCAAAAATTGCCATGCTACATGTCAGAATTGTACAATCCTTGTAACTTTTTACCTCCCTTAATTTTTCTGCTTTCTTAACTACTAATACTGGAATAATGATAGATGGCCTCTCTAGATTATGGAATTGCTGAAGAAGAGACAAAGCTTGTGAAAGTCAGTTTCTAACCATAAAATATGCACAAAAGCAAGATATGATGAAATAATTCTACAAAATAACAAATATTTTTCTATCTGATCATCATTATCTAATTTCAAAGTTCTGTTGCCTCATATTTATCACAAGGCCAAATAAGAAGCAGAAATATTATGGAAATATATATCATTTTGTAGAGAGTATAGAGTAGAGAGAACCAGAATAATGTCTACTCAAGAGAGCAAGAGAGAGAACGACAAACAACCATGAGGAAACAATGAAAAAGAAGAGTTTCCATCAGAGCTGATGGCTTGTAAAGACACTGTGTTGTGACGGAAAGTACGCTTAACCAGGAATTAGGACACCTGGCTTCTAATTCCTGCTCCACCTCAACTATAGTTTTCCTTTGAGAGCTGAAGATTCTTCTCATTTTTCACAAGAAGGCAATGCAAAAATAATTATATATGTAATTCATATATATTTATATTCATATTATAAATATGAATTAATATATATGAAATTTATATTCACATATATTTAAAATTTATATAATTTATATTATATAAATATGAATATATATTCATCTATATTCATATCTCATCTACATCTATGTCTATGTCCATATGCATATCCACATCCACATCTACACATATATCTGTATCTATCCATCTGTCTATCTACAATATGTTGTACACCAAAATGTTCTGGCTCTCTGTTATCTTGAAACAAAGGAGGATTTACCTTTTGTGTGATGGGGTGGGGCCAAAAGTCTTGATTGGTTAATGCATTTTGAGCAGAAGTGATGTGTCATTTCAGGGCTGGAGCCCTTAATTGCCAAGGTGAGACTCCTCAGGGCTCTTTCCTTTGACATAGCGACCAGCAACGTTCGCTGTGATGGCTACTTCTTCTGCTGGGTCTGAGCAGCTGTGGTGAGCAGAGCAGCCCTGATGGGTTTGCATCATTTGAGCAAGAATTAAACCTTTGCTCTTTCAAGATGAGAAGATTAGGATGTGGCTGTCACCACAGTACAACCTGGTACATGCTGACATATGCATAGTGTTGCTGGGTAAAATTCCAGACACTCAGTTAAATTTGAATTTCAGATAAACAACGTATAATCTTTTAGTATAAATATGTTCCAAGGATTATATGCATCATACTGATATAAAAATATTTACTGTGTATAAATAATTCAATCTAAATTTAATTTCTGGAATGTTAAATATTTTAAAAAGCATGGTTTTTGGAACCAAACCCATTTGGGTTTGAGTCAAAGGCTTCACTATATACAATCTGTGTGACTTTGAACAAGTTACTTCATTTCTTAGCCTCATCTGTAAGATGGGGCTAAAAACACCTACCCCACAAATATTGTTATGAGGAGTATGTGTTGGATAGTACGTTAAAAGTTTTGTTGTGTTGTTTGGTAATGAGGAAGTGATTGACATTATTTGCTATTGTTAGTATTGTTGTTCACATGGAAATAATTTGTAAACTGTAAAGGCCCCTGTAAATATTATCTATCACCATTACTAGTTATGGGTTTACTACCAACAAGTTAATGTCAATCTTGAGTAAATCTTTTTAATTTCTTTAAGCTATTCTTTTCTTACTTGTAAACTGGAGTATCTTGTACGTGCTGTGCTTCTTTCACTTGTGATATTATTCATTTGTTACATATTTCAGAGCATCATTGGATATGAATCCATCTGGCCCTACTCTATCCTCTAGGGTCATCCACTATGTCTTCATCCCAGTTGGATCCACAGTTTACTTGATGCCATGTGGGTAAGACATAGAAGGAGGAGAAAGAGAAGGAACAGTAGCCTCATGATGGGAAATGAATTATCAGGATTATAGGAAGAACTGGTCGTGTCTGGTGGTGGCTCTTTCTTCAGTGCACATCAATGAGGGCTGGGGATCTGGGGAAAATTTTTTTTGAAAAATTCACCCGGAGAGGAAAAAGTTTCTGTTTCTAGTAAAGATTTTCAGTGAGGGCCTAGTTGTAATTTGAGATGGTTTCATCTATGACACATGGTTACAGATCCAAGTTTCTGCCAGTCAAAAAGGAAGACCTTTATAGTAAGTCAGCATTTTTGAGTCTATTCTCACTTCTGCTTACTACTCTGATGAATGGTGCTTTTTTTTCGTTTGAGAAAAAAAATCATTAAAAAGCATAATTTTTGTCACAAATCATCCATTTATTCATTCACCACTATCGCATTTCTCTTCATTTCTCAGTTTCCCCTTTGGGAATACACACAAAACCTCCCTTTTTAGAAGTTACAAAAGAAGAAGAAATTTTGTAGATAGAAAGGAATCCTCTCTTCTTTTTTATCTCTCATTTTTTTTTTTTTCTACCTATTTAAAAGAGTGAGATGCTTCATGCTAGGCAAGCTCTTGCATAGATCACAGCCAGGTGCATCTTTGGGGGACAGAGCATTTCTTAATACAGGTATTAAATCAATTCATTCTTGTGGGAAAGGATTAAATATCACAGAAGTGTATGAGGTCAAACCTTGACATTCTCCTCCACCACTTCGCTCTCTCTTTCTCGGTTTTACTTTATGTTGTTTGTATGTTTCTCTTTTTCACTATACTGTGAATTTCTAAAGAATCAGGTCCTGTTTCATTGTCTCGCATTCTCAGCACCTTGAATAGTGCCTGGCATGGAGAAGGAACTCAAATATTTATTTAAATGAGTGAACACTTATATGGAAGAACCAATACATGTATGAAGGAGCAAATGGATACATGGAGGAAATAAATGAGGGAGAGAAGGAAGAAAGAGAAGGAGGAAGGAAGAGAAGAGAACAGAGGGACCCAGACTTCCCTACTAATCTAACAATGGTCACTTGATGATGCAGCAAGTACCATTCTCCTATGCCCTGTCTCAGGAAAAAGGACATAGGAGGAGTCAGTGGATGACCAAGACCTTTCTATGCAGAGAGTTGAGTTTTAATCCAGATCACTGTTGGGAGTTTCAACCTACACTACGAGAAGGACGTTCTAGGAAACTTCTATGTCCCAGAAATCACACAAGAGGTTAGTTTCCTTCCTCAAGGGCTGGAATGGCTCAGAAAAAAATTGAAAATTAAAATTCGAATGAGGCCAAATTGTGCTTTTCTGACCTCATGAAACTAGAGGGTGGTAGGAAAACCTTGGTTATTTTTGGCATGAAAGAAAGGTTGTCTTATAAAAGAACCTAGAACTGTAGATATGTACACACAATTCCCCATTGAATTTCACTTGTTAAATGCAACTATAACTTAATAACTTTACATAATTTAATTAAATAATATTAAGCCTCCTTTAACCTTCACTCCAGTGAGAGGGACTTGGACAAATTTTTCTCGACCACCTATTATGTCTCAGGAATCCTAAAAATGATATCTTTGTTCACACACTTGCCATGTGAGATAGATATTTCCATTCTTTAAGCAAGTGAATGCAGGTTGTACAACTAGTGATAGAACCTAGATTTGAACTCTATCTATCCGTTGTCCATACTTTTACTTAATTTTCAGTCCTTCTTGCTGAGAAAGGAAAGATAGCTTTTACTGGATGACAAAAGTAGCTATAGTGAGATAAGCTTGTGTGTGTGTGTGTCTGTGTGTGTCTGTGCACACATGTGCGGGAGCCAGAGTGAGAGTGAGAGAATGCATGGGGAGTTGTGTATTAAATGTATTATAAATTATCCTTTCCTCTAAGAAGGAAAGGATGTGGCATACATCATGTGACTAAAGGCTGTTGCTCCATGAGGAAGTTGACCAATCCTTCATCATCCAAATGGGGACATTTTTTAGAATGTAAGGGACTTATTATTAATAGTTATGCTGGAACAACAGGCATAGACTGGGACTGTCTCAGACAACCTGAGAGATTTTGCCATCCTGTCCCTAAGAAAACCTCCTCCTTAACAAGCACAGGTTCCTTTGCTGAAGGTTAGGCAAAGCCTTAGAGCTGACGATTCTCTCTCCAATGCTCTCTCCACTGCCACTCTGGAGAAATGGCCCACAGAACATGGACCGAACACAAGAGTCTCCAAGGACACGGTGATTATCAACGGCTCTGGCTTAACTTTCCAAATCATCCTTTGCCCATTTTCTTCTCTCAGCCCAGAGATTATGGCAGGATGAGACTGGGAAAGATAGCTCTACCTTCTTACGTTTGGAAGTCACGTCAACTTAATCAGTACGTGCTTCTAATTTTATGCTAAGGGTAAACACACTCTTTCTCTGAACCGTGTACTATTCACAAGGGTATACTAATATAGATAGCATTCTCAGAGATAATTATTAACCTGGGAGGAATCCTGAGAGGGCTTTCCTGTTTCCCATTTTTGGTGGTACAAACTGATTCACCAACTCTTAGGAAACCCTCATCACACTAAGGTAACAGCAAATCATTTTTGGAACAAGCTTGAGGTATCAATGAATAACTTCTTTGATATTTTGGCCCAGCCATGATCTTCTGGGTTTTGAGGGTCTGGTGAGAACCCATTAACTTGCTTTATCTTAGAGTGTTTCTGTGTGAGCACCTACACTAACATACCCCTCCCCACTCTGTCTGTCATTAATCTAGCCTTCCCCGACCCACCTGTCTTCCATTTTAAAGAATTAAATATGTTTCTGACATTTTCTCTCTGTCCAGACACAACTTAGGAATCAAATGGTTCCATTTTAAATCTTAGGATCAGCATTTGAATTTTTCACTAAGTAGACATCTATTTAGTTTAGTGATATTGACATAAAAATAGATTAAGCAGTTGCAGGAATCTATTTAAATATATCACACAATGCTACATAGTAGCTGTGAGTGTTTTACTTCCCTGGCTCAGTAACAGTACCTTTAGTAATAATAATTATTATTATAATAAATAACAATTATAATAATAGAAAAGAAAATATAGGCCGAAAGCTTTGTTGCACATTCCTATCTCCTACAGTTGTACTCTGAAAGAAATCCTCTCTACTGATTCCCTAAATATTGTGCATATATTCCCACCCCTTCCTCAACCACAGGTGGCTCTCTCCTGAAAACCTTCTAATTCGATTTCTTAAATAATTAAAGAACAATTCACGCTTTCTGTTTCTTCAGGTCAGTTTTAGCATGTTACATTTTCCTATGTCTATTTTGTCTATTGTCAAATTTTTGGTATAAATTAATTCATAATATTCTCATCCTTTAATCTCTGCTGCATCTGGAGTCATATATCTCTTAAAACTGATAGCACTATGTGTGGAGGGGGTGTGATGTCTTTTTTTCTCTTTTTCCATGACCAATATTTCTAGAGGATTATAACTTTTATTAATATTTTTGAAGAATCTACTTTTGGTTTAGATGATCCTTTTTACTGTATATTGGCTTTCTATTTCAGTAATTTCTGTTCTTAGCCTTATTATTTCTTTCCTATTTTACTCAGATTACTAACTTTTTATCCTTTATTACCTTGAATGAGTAGTTTAACAATAATTAGCCTTTCTTCTTATGCAATACACACATTTTAGATCTATAAATTTTCCTTTGAGTATTGCTATAGATACATCACACAAATTTTCTTACATAATAATTTTATTACCCTTGAATTCTCTAATTTTTGATCAATGAGTTATTTAGAAATTTTTCTATATTTCTAAAAATAGGAATTTGAGAAGCATTTTTGTTATTTATTTCTCATTTAATTGCATTATGACCATAATGTGTAGCCTATATGATATGGAATTTTTGAAAAATTTCAAGACTCCTTTTATGTCCTGGACAAAATCAATCTCTGTAAATGTTTCATGCATACTAGAAAATAACGTCCACTCAATTTGTTATAAATATTGATGTATTTGCATTCATATATACCATTTTTACTTTTATTTTCTTGCTTTTCTTATATGATACTTGGTTTTTCCATTTTCGCCTTCTTTCAGATGTAGTATTGGTGGTTGCTGTTACTGTTTTTCTCATTCTCTTTTTTTTCTTCTCTCTCCTAGTTCAGAAGTTATGAATTGTGTTTCTATTCTTATAGGTGACACTCTAGTAATTACAATAACAAATATGCTTAACTATCAAAGCCTGAAGTTAGATGATGTGCTTATTCTTCTCCCAAATAACTCAAAGACTTTAGAATGTTTTAATTCAGATCATTGTTTGTCCAACTGAAATGCTGTGGTTGTCAGTGTTTTAGGGCTATGTTTTTTTACCCAGTGGATGAGAAATTATTATTGTTATTTTATATGGCCACTGACTGTTTAGATTACTTGGTTACATTTTATTTTGCTCAGCACCTTCCTCAGCATCTCAGACCTTCCTTCTGAGATCATTTCCTTCTTCCTGAAGCACATCCTTCCATGGAAGTTTCTTTAGAGAGGATCTGTGAGTGGTAAACACTCCATTTTTTTCTGTCTGAAAATATTTTCATTTCCCCAAAACTCCTGAAAGAGAGTTTCTTTTGCATACAATTCTAGGTTGACATTTATATTCTACTGTCTTCTGACTTCCATCATGACATCTGCCTTTGGTTTAATGATCATTTCTTTGTAGGTAATTTTCCCTTTTTACTGGCTGCTTTTTTTGTTTTTGTGAGGAAGATCAGCCCTGAGCTAACATCTGTTGCCAATCTTCCTCCTTTTTTTTCCCCCAAAGCCCCAGTAGATAGTTGTATGTCATAGCTGCACATCCTTCTAGTTGCTGTATGTGGGACGCGGCCTCAGCGTGGCCGGAGAAGCGGTACGTCAGTGCGCACCCGGGGTCCGAACCCGGGGCCACCAGTAGCGGAGCGCACACACTTAACCGCCAAGCCACAGGCCGGCCCATCTGGCTGCTTTTAGAGTCTGTTTTTCTTTTGTGTTCCTCCATTTCACTACAATGTGTGTAGTTTGAATTTCTTAGATTTTATCCAACTGGTATTTGTTGAGATACCTGAATTTGAGGATTGGTGTCATATCGCTACGGAAAATTACCAAACATTATTTTTGAATATTATGTCTTGTCTATTCTCTGTATCATCTTCTTCAACTTCAGTTAGACACTTGTTAAGCTAATGTTTCTCAACAGAAGCACTATTGTAAATTTGGATGGGGAAATTCTTTATCACAGGGGACTCTTCCTCGCATTATGGACATTTTTACATTCCTAGCTCCCAGGCACTGTGTCATTGTGAGGAAATTGCCTTCATATATTTCCAAAAACCCCTAAGGTAAGCGGTAACACCTCTGCTTGGGAACTACTGTGATAAATCTTTCTTTATCTGCGTCTTCTCATCTTTCTTTTCTTTCTTTTTTTTTGGCTGAGGAAGATTGACCTTGGGCTGACATCTGTTGCCAATCTTCCTCTTTTTTTGCTTGAGGAAAATTAGCCTTGAGCTAACATCTTGTGCCAATATTCCTTTATTCTGTCTGTGTTGCTGCCACAGCATGGCTGATGAATGGTGTAGGTCTGCGCCCAGAATCTGAACCCATGAACCTGGGCTGCTGAAGCAGAGTGCACTCAACTTTAACCACTACGCCATGGGGCCAGCCCCACATCTTTTGTATTTTTAATCTCTATGCCTCTCTTTGCTGAATTCTAAGTAATTTATTAAGCTGTGTTTTCTGTCACTGGTTTTCTCTTCAACTGTATCTGATAATCTGCTTAATCTTTCTATTGTTTTTAAATTAAATTATTTCATTTTTCATTTCTAGAAGTTCTAGAAATTTGTTTACGTTGCAAATTTGTTTGGTAATTACTGATAACCTTGTGTTCCTTTGTCATATTTACATTACCTTCTTTTATTTCTTTAAACATATTAACCATTTAAAATTTCTATATTTCGTTCAACCTAAATGTCATTGATTATAAGAGACGTTACTCATTTATGTATCACTAAGAAAGATAAAAGTCTCTCTCTGTGACAAAGTGTTCTTACAGTATCTTTCTGTAGAGAAATATTTTTTCTTCTTCATTCAATATATTGGTGGCATAGACAGTCTTATCCATTTTTGGAAACTAATCAAACCTCTAGTACTTTTTCTGGAAATTTCCCCATAATATGAATTAAGGCTTAAGTTTCAGTACTATAGTGGGAGAAACCAGAGAGATGGTGACCCAAGGAAAACTTAATTGGGATATGATATAACATATTTGAATTACACAAGTTATTTAATAATTTTTTACTCCTATTTTGTTGACCCTTAACACTGTCAACTTGCCCACCCATGGTACAGATTTATAAGACAACAGGGAGATTTACGTATAATCTCTGGTTATGATAATGGAGTAAAATTAAATTGCTCACATAGGGGTAGAACTTCTTCTCCGGCCTCAGTCAAGACTCAGTGGTCCTTCTTTCATGACACAGCCCCAAGTTGGCTCTCTCTGGCCAATACCCTGGAAGATGGGCTGTGTCTCCCATTTGATCCTAGTCCTGGCTGTGTGCCCTCATGTCCTTAATTCCTCGATCAGTTTATTCCTGCCACAGTGACCCCTGGCAACCTCACCAGCCAGCACCACCAGCTCTCCTCTCTGTACCTCCACAGTGCAAGGAGACATTCTGGGTCTCTTCCACTCCGTATAGGATCTGGGGGTCACTCTCTCAAGTTGAACAGGCCATCCCAGGAAGAGGATAAGATACCTGTCAACTTATTCTTTCTATCTCTATCTTTCTTCCTTTCCTTCTCCTCATATTCTACTGAGTCAGAAGGCATTCATACACTCCTTTCTTGTATGTCACATCTTCTGAGTTTTTTAAGTCTATGAGGCCTGGTTCTTAACATGTAAATGGGATTTTTAAAATTTTGGAAAATTTCCTTCTTAGGTTTAGCTCTTTTATTAAGCTAAATGCTTCCAGTAAGGATATAAATGAGAAAGAACTCTAAATTCTTTTCTGGATACTGGAATAAATAATAACAAGGAAGAAGCCACTTGTCATGTGTCCTGGGTCACTCCATCACCATCCTCCTCAAGATGGTATGTAAGGGCCTCCCCCAGCAGAAGGTGGCATCAGACCTCCTTCACCTCCTGAGTTTCTCTCCTCACTTCACTTGAATCCTCTCTATTGACACCGTGGCGGGCTGTGGCTGTGGAAGTTGCGGTGGCTGCAGCAGTAGCTGTAGTGGCTGTGGTGGTGGCTGAAGTGGTGGCTGCGCCGGTGGCTGTGGTGGTGGCTGTGGCAGCTGCACCACCTGTAGAAGCTATTGGGTTGGCTGCTGCCCCTGCTGCTATGGCTGCTGCGGGGGCTGCTGCAGCATCCCTGTGGTCTGCTGCTGCCGCCACTCCTGTAGCTACAACTCATGTGGCTGCAGCTGTGGGAAGGGCTGTTGCCAGCAGAAGTCCTGCTGCGAGCAGAAGAGCTGCTCCAAGAAGCAATGATGCCACTAGACAGTTGGCCTGGCCCCACCTCTAGGGTGAGAAATGCTAGGACTTGCTGTCTTCATTAATGAAACTTTCCTCCATCCATCCTGTCTGCTCCTTCTCCCACACCTTCCCACTTGCTATCACCTGGGTGTCCTGGGAATTTTTCTTTTGGACAATATCTCTGGTTTTGGAACTCTGCACCCATCTCTTTTAACTTAACAGTCACAAACCTTTTTATTTGATAAAAATTTCACACAAACAAGAAATGGCCATTACAAAGACCCAGTCCAACACCTGAAGACCAGTCATGTCTCTGAGCCCAGCCAAAGGGATCATGACGCTGAATGTTCTATTTGATGGGTATTCATGCAACCTTCTAACTTGGTACTTCTCCCTCTCTGTGTCTGTGTGCCTAGGGTTTCTATTACTCTTACCTTTTCTATTGCTGTTACTATTGTTTCTACAAAGCTGTGGCATAAATTTCCTAATAAAACCCTAAGTGATTCTGCTTTTATTCTGCTATGGCAGCAATGTGCACGTAAGAGGTTTCTACCTTCTTAAACAAATTGAACGACAAGCATGCAATGACAGCAATGTCACCGCCAGGCCTCTGGGGCCACCACTCCCAGCTGCCTGTCATTTTTCCATCTCATGAGATGGGCAATTCCCTCAGGTATTTCAATGCCCACTACCCTGTGTGCCTCTTCCTGAAGGCCCTGTGACCCTGCTTCCTTGTCAGAAGTGCATCACCTGCCTCTTCAGCGACAACAGATGTAAATATTTCACTTAAGTCAAGGCTTAAATATGGGCAAAGGGCAAGTCCAGATAAGCCAGAACCATAACCTTTTAATTATTTTTTTCCCAGACATGGTTATTCTCTTGCCATTTCTACTCCCTTAGTTCTGTTACTTGTCTATGAATTCTGTTTCTGTTGTTGTTTCCGAGTCATTCTATGTACAAAACAAAACATTTAAGATGTTTCTCCATAAGGTGTTCTTACCAGTCAGAAAATTCTACAGCTTTTAAGCAAACCTATGTTTTAATTAAAAAAAAAATAATGATCTTTCTCTTTAGTAAGATACTAAATAAAATTTTTTATTTAAAGATTTTTTATTTTTTTCCCCCAAAGCCCCAGCACATAGTTGTATGTCATAGCTGCACATTCTTTTAGTTGTTGTATGTGGGACGCGGCCTCAGCATGGCCAGAGAAGCAGTGCGTCGGTGCGCGCCTGGGATCCGAACCCGGGCCACCAGCAGCGGAGCGCACGCACTTAACCGCTAAGCCATGGGGCCGGCCCTAAAATTTTTTATTTAAAAAATATTTTTTCTTCTGTGTTTTTTTCCTTTTAATTATAAATGGAACCTCCATTTATGGTATGGTATCTCCCTATAATTTACTTACGTGTGTCTATTACAAAAAATGTAAAAACATAAGAATGGTTACATATAAAAAAATAAAAAATCTCCAGTTCTTTATTCTTCATTTGTTAATTTATTTCCCAAGAGCTTAAACATTTTTTTAAAATTAGCATTTTAATTTGGGGTGGGTAATTTACAGGTGCAAACATCAAAAGCCATGGAAAGATGACCTCTCTCTTCCATTTCCCATTACCACACAGCAGGTAATCACTGTTATTAGTTTTGTTTGTCCTTCTAGAAAAGTTGTATGTGTATATAAACCAAAACAGATGTTTTTCTCCTTACTTTTACACAAATATGAGCTATCACATTCATTATTATTTTGGCACCTAACTTTTCTCCACTTATAATATATTTTAGAGCCTTTTATGCTATGTAAAGATCTTCCTCATTTTTTATCTAGCTAATACTATTACAAGTGAATACACTGATGTACCATAATACATTTTCCCTATCCTCACTTCATGAAATTTAAATAGTTTCCAATCCTTTATTCTTAAAAACAATACTGTAAGGAAAAACTTTTTATGCAAGTCAGTTCCCAAGCACACAAATATATTGTTAGTGTATATTGCCATCAGAGATAGCTATAGGTGGAAAGATATATACATTTGTAATTTTGAGAATGTGGAATTTTCCTTTGTAGCAATGAAACTAATTTACGCTCCCACCAACAATCTTTGAGACTGCCTGTTGAGTCATTCCCAGAGGACAAAATGTACTGTCACACCTTTGGATTATTTTCTACTCTGACAGGTAAACAATGCTATCTCATTGTAGTTTTAATATACATTTCTCTTATGAGTTAATTTGAGCATCTTTTACACATCTGATACATTTGTATTTCTCTTTCTCTGAATTTCCTGTTCACATCCTTTGCCCATTTTTCTATCAGGTTATTGATCTTTTTCTTATCAATTTGCATTTTTCTTTTTTTTTTAATTTTTTGTTTATTGCAGTAACATTGGTTTATAACATTGTAAAAATTTCAGGTGTACATCATTATACTTCTATTTCTGCATAGATTACATCATGTTCACCACCAAAATACTAATTACAACCCATCACCACACACACGTACCGCTGCATTGTTTCTTTATAAGTTAGGGAAAGTAGCTTTGATAAGTTGCAATATTTTCCCCAGATTATCACTTGTCTTTTGGCTTTGCTTATACCGTTTTTTTTTTGTTCTTGTTTTTTTGCTTGAGGAAGATTCACCCTGAGCTAACATCTGTGCCAATTTTCCTCTATTTTGTATGTGAGCCACAGCATGGCTGCTGATGAGTGGTGTAGATCTGCGTCTGGGAACTGAATCTGGGCTGCTGAAGCAGAGCGTGCCAAACTTAACTGCTAGGCCATGGGGCCAGCCCAAATTATAGTGTTTTTTCTTCCATGTATAGTTTAGTGTTACACTGTCAATTCATCTTTTTACAATTTCTAGGTTTTATTTTCCTTTAAAAACTCTTGTGGTCATAAAATAATTCTTACATATTTTCTTCTGGTATTTTTGTAGTTTCATATTTTGCATTTGCATATTGATACATATACATTACATATTGATGGAGTTATTCGAGCACTCCTGTGTCAAACTTAATCTTTCCTTTGAAAAAAAATTGTTCCAATCTTATTAAATACTCCCTCTTTTTCTTCATCTAGTATGAATGCCATCTTTATCATAGTCTTAAATCCCTTATGAATTAGGGACTAATTCAAAACTTTCTACTCTCTCCCATGGGACTGTCTTTTCATGCTTCTATGTTATTGAAATTAAGAGTTTAGAGTAGAATTTCAGTTTCTGCAAATAATTTAATCTCATTTTTCCACTTTAAAAAGCATTCATCTTTAAAAGTGTTTTCAGGTATATTCATATATGTCCTACACTTTTATGAAATTATTAAGTAATTAAATGTAATCTTATAAATCATATTATTTTTGTGCTATTAGAAATGGGGTCTGTTAGGCCCATGTATCTTCTAGACAGTTTATCATGAAAGCTGTTTGTTTTGATATACTTATTTCCTATACTACTATCTTGGTTTTTAGTTGAGTCTCTCGGGTATAGGCTTCTAGCCTCTGGAATAATAATAATTTTGCCTTCTCCTTTCTAAGTTCTGACTTCTAATTTTTTTTTGCTTGTCTAATTGTGTTGGCTAATGCCTTCAGCACAACAAGTTAAGTAAGAAGGATAATACCGGTCATCTTTTCCTTGCTTTTGATGTATGTAGGAATGTTTTTAGTTCTCTCCACTAAATGAGTGTGTTGGCTTTGGGGCTGAATTTTATTTTCAGTCCAGTGATTGAATTTTGGGACTTGGAGAAAAATATATTTGAAATACAAATCTTCAAACAGCATTCTTTTTTCCCAGTGGCAGAATGCTCAATGCATCCTCTACTGAAGTTTCAAAGGACAGACAATTTTCTGCGCAATTCATCAAAAAATTAGAAAGGCTCTTTAATATTTTTGCATGCATTATTTTATATAGCACAATCTCTACCATTGAAAAATTAAAGGTCCCCCTCATGAGTGTTTTCTTAGTATTTTACAAATACTTCTAGAAACCCCTTGGACATTTCTATTTCAGTTTTTCTGTTTTAGACAGACATCACCCTGACATAGCATTAAAACACCTCCCTGAGCTCACGGTAGAGAGAAAGCTCATTACCTCTCCTAGGGCCACTGGGAATTGACATGAATGTCATTCTGTGGACACACAGGAGTGTCTGAAGCTATTCCTGAGGTAGAGTTTCAACAACTAAGCTCAGCTGAGCACAAAATAAAAACTAATCATGAAACAATTAAATGGTGATATTATCAAATAATAGTTTGTGAATGGTGCTATGTTAACAAGATTGAAGAAGAGTCCTTAGAAATGGGACAAAACCTTGTAATTATCTCAGAGAACTGTAAGTTATAAAGAAATATACTTAATGGAAGAAGAAAAATGGCTCATGTGACAAAAATGCCACATGTGTTGCCTGTTTTGGTAAGGTAAAACAAATATCTAAGCCAAGCAACAGGGTCAGTCCAGTTAGTGTTTCTGCTCACAAATGGGGAACATCAACTCCAGGATGACCGGAGCTTTCTCATGGTTTCTTTCCATGCCTTTGCATGTTTTTGCAAGTGATCAAAACCAGAATTTTTCAGTCATTGCTATTCACTGGGGTTGCCAACATGGGTTGTTTCATTGAGATGATGGGCCCAGTTGACTGCATCTAGTTCAGCTGGGCACACAGATATCTGGTCTAAAGCTGACATTTCGTTGTGGTTTTGAAAAGGTACATTGGAAACCATGCTTGTAAAACGTATGAATTTATGGCACTTAGTGGCTTTGTGACCAGCATAGTTCTTGCGCAGAGGTTGTAATAGTTGACAAAATATTAGAGCTTTGTTCCCATGATGACATCCCTCAGTTGCTCTGGGTGTGGTCCATATGGATTCTGACTTGTAGCAGAGCTCTGCACCTTCTTTTGGCATTTGGCTGCATAGATAATGTATATACTTCTCATTGAAGAAAAACATGGTTGGTAATACCCACACTGCTATGGTTATAAGGAGAATATAGCTGGTTTTGAATATTAAATAGCCAGCGTAGCATGCCCAGATGTTGGTTGTGTAATGCATGAGAAAGAGAGAGCCTGCATTGACAACTGAGAAGATCGCCAGAGCCAACTCTCCCAGAAGGTCCCAGTTGACTTTCACATAATCCACTGCAAAGGCAGCCACAGCCCCTGAAAAAGAAACATTTAGGAAGATGAAACATACTGACCTTGCACATGGGAAATATCAACAGCTCTCTTAAAAACTCAGGACTTAGGCAATTCTAAAAGACAAATATATTGCTTTCACAGTTTGCAAAAATAGTGTGATCCACCTAAATGTGGATTTATCCTTTTCTTAACCAGGTTTTCCTTTGGCTTCTCTCTTTACTTCCTATTCTTTCAAGCATTTAGTCCTCACACTTCCAATTAGCATCAACTACATGCCAAGCACTGTAATATGCAGAGAGGCCAGAAAGGTTCCTAACAACAGCAGAGTAGGGAGAAATGACACATAAACCCAATCGCTTAATACAACATGCTAAGGGCAGAGATAGAAAAGGATGAAACAATTGCTTCGGGAGTACACCTGGCCTGTCCCTATTCATCTTTATTGATTTTTCAATGATGGGTAACAAATGCATTGCATTGGCTAGTTTTAGTCTTCATTATTAACCTTTCTTAATTTTAATCTTATTTCTAGTCCATCTTAATGTCTTCAAGATCTGGCCTATTTTACTTGAGGCTTTTGGTGCACAGACCTATATTGATTTATAGAGTTTAAGAGATTGAATAATTGACAGTAATTAGGGTTACTAATACAGTTCTCTTCAACAAAATGAGAAGTATTTATGTTTCAAATTACTGACATTGGATTAATTAACTTTTTCACATGTGATCTAGGAAAGAACCATTACTACAAAGGAAATAAAACGATTTCCCCCTCTAGAATTTGGAATGCAGGAGAAATAATTTCAGTGAACCAATTCCAGCACAGTCTTGGTTTTTAAGAGTTAAAGTGAAGCCTCCCAAAAGGGAGACAATAATAAAACAGATGCCACATGAGTTTTCTGAAATTTTTGTAAATGAGGGTGTGGAAATTTCCAACTCTCTAGAAAATATCTTCAAAGTCTCAGTTGAATTTAAGTTTCCACTTACCAGGATATAAATATTTATTGTAGAGTAAACTTCAAATGCAGATTTCCCTGTGATATTAGAATCCTTACTCTTATGGATCTTCCACTCATTTAAATCTCATAAGAAAGTGACTTTTGAAAAATTTTGGTGTATAGCCTAGAATTGCTAAAGGTGGGTGCCAGCTAACTCAAATTGTTTATTAACAAAATCTCTTCCAGTGATAATCTGGAATCCTTAATAGTTCATTTTCTAAAATAACAAAAACTCTTTACTTATATACAAGATGCGTATTTTCCTTTTGATATTAAAAACAATTCTGGAAGAACAGGGGACATTTAACACTTTTTCTCACAATAAAGTGTGAGGTTGGAGTTGTTAGTCCCATTTTGTAGGCAAGAAAACTAAGGCTGAGGTTCCTAAAATCGCACAGCTGATAAATGGCGGAGTCGGAATTGGAACACAGTTCTTCTCCTCCTACTTTCCCCACTATCTAATACTGGACTTAGTGTGTGGGTAAAATGCCTCCTCAGAATTGGGGCTCAGACTGTGGCCTTGAAACAGGTTGATGTTCAAGAATCATAGGCCGTACTTTGTAATAACAAAAGAGACAGCTGATTATGGCAGATAAAGGGGGAAATAAGTAAACTCGTACTTTCTGTTTGTTTGTTTCATCAAATATTTTATACATATAAAATAATTTATGGATATGTCATATATATATATAAAATATAGATTAGTTATAAAAATATAATAAAACAAACACTCATGTGCCCATCACCCAGTTGTATGTATAATTTCTTCACTGTATCTTTTGACCCAGAAATAACCACTATCTTAAATTTTTTGTTTAGCCTTCCTTTGCTTCGCTGTATGTTTTTTTTTACATATTTTTGTAGAGGTATGTACAAAACATACTATTAACTTTGTTTTTAAACTTTATACGTAAGGTATTGTGGGGGATCAGAAAAAAAAAAAAAAAAAAAGTGGAATCTTAGGAATTTGGCTAGAATTTAGCTGAGATCTTGAGTTACCTATTGTAAGTATAACACATTAAATAGAATGTGTTAAGGTTCTCTTTTTTTATTTCCCAGTGCCTTCCATCCAGGAAAAACATTAATGTGCCTTCAGAACACAGCTAAATTTTCTACCATGGAGAAGTTTAGCAACTGGAAAACTGAACTTAATGGGGGTAGTCCATCAAGGAAGGTAAATCAATGTTTACTTACCTCCAAAGGTTGCGATAGCCTCTATTGCCCCATTATAGACGGAAGAATTTTGGGATGGTGGCTTGTAATCCCACAGGATTTGAACATAGTTGAAAATCTGGTTAAAACCTGCTGTGGAAAAAGCCCACTACAGGGACCAGTAAAAAAGACGCTTTGAGGAGTAGCCCTCTTTCAAATCTTGGAACCACTGCACAAAAACTTTGAAAGCTACATTTTTTGGCTTTGGGCTGCTCAACCAGCCATCATCCAGGTTCCTCGAGATGGTAGGTATTACTGAAGTTAGTTTCTCCTCCCCATAACCTGCTGCTTCACCCTCATGAGGTTCATCTAACGCCTCATTCACGTATGATGGCTTCTCTACTTCTTTTCTGGGTTTTGCATGAAAAAACATGCTTTTCTGGGGCATTGGTAGAAAAAATGAGAGAAGGAAGGCCATGGAGAGAGACGCCAAGGATATGACATTGAGGTAAAAGTAGGATAGATTGGCCAGAGATACCAAGAGCTGAGCCAGCACCGAGGCTGCCGTGTAGGCCACCAGCGTGATGCTCCTGCAGTAACCGCTCACTTTCTGATAGTGTTCTGGGCTGACCACGCTGTAAATGTAGGCATAGTAGGCCACCTTGGTGGCGGTAATGATCCCATAGAAGAACTCCACAACCTGCATGGTCTTCACTCCTTGGCCAAACAAGAGTAGCAGCCAGGTAATGACAAAGCTAATCCCTTGTAAGATGATGATCGGCTTGTAGCGGACGTAATCGGTGAAGATAAACACGGGGAGCAGCAGCACCAAGTAAGAGTATGTCCACACAGGAAAAATCTCATTTGTGATCTGCAAAGTTGAAAAATGGATCGTGTGACCACGAAGCACCAGGAAGTGAGAAGGGTCACCTTTCTCCAGTACGTACATTACTAAGGTACATGTGGCTTGCCCAGTATCAAATTTCGCAATCCAATAGGATAGAATATTCTTCATATTATGGAAAAACACAATAGAAAACTGATTTTCAAGGAAACCACTAGAGAAAGAGAGCCCCCCCCCAAAAAAAATTTATACACTTACATGCATTCCAGCAGAAGAATATATTGGCTTAATGTGCAATCTGAACTATATTAAGTTTAGCTATTATGTTTCAGTACATTAGTTAAAAATTGCTCAACAGATATTTCTGCGTTTTTAAGGCTCTTAAAAAAATACCATTCCCTTCTTGTTCAAAGATTAACATTAGATAAATCTGAAAACCTTTATCTTTATCTGATCCATCACTATGTCAAAAATATCAGCCCTTCCAAAGTCTGGCTGAACACATACATGATGATAGCAAAGAGTAAATAACCTTGTAGAATTATGGAAAGAGAACAGGTAATGTATTTAATTTCCTTCCTGGCCAAATTTGCTGGGCTCTCAACCTTATTCAATATTGTTTCTTCAATTCTGGCCTCAAATTAATATGGGTCATCTCATGGATTTAGTCAGAAACGCACAGGACCTCAATGTTCATTCATAAAAAGAAAGGACTGAAGCAGCTGCTGATCTCTGGGGCATGACGGGTGTGGGTGCAGCTCAGTTGCACTAGCCTTTGGTCTGTGCCCCTCTGATCTCTCCAACAGCCTCAGTGTGTCCAAATGTCAACGATGAGGGAAAGCTGAGTGGTTTGAAAGGGTAGTGAGACTGAGCTGCAGCTTTGAGGATGGGGACATTAAGTGGTCCATAGCCATGGCAGAAGCAGACACCAGTAGCTTGACTGGCTGATTCTGGACCTGAATCTGTTGCTTGTCTTAATCATGACATGCTTCCATCTGGGAAACTTTGAAACAGAGTTTCGCTAAGTGATTTTACAGCACAGCACAACAAGCTTGCTTTTCTGTCCTTAGCACCTCATCACCAAATAAACCAGCATCAATTAGCCTTCCAGGTAAAGCCACCCTCAGTAGTGTTTTCATAGCTCTGGCTGGAGATTATAAAACCAGCCCAGGGTAATTTTCCAGCTGGGTCAGTGCATTTTCTTGTTGCACTTGTTATAAAAAAGTGTTAGATCTTTTAAGTAAGAGAATTTGGCCTTCTGGGGAAGATAAAGCTGAGAGATAAAGCTACTAATGTCTCACCTGCTGATATATAGTTTTTCAAAACTGAGTAAGTGTCCTAAAGAAATGTTATAATTCTTTATCAGATTCTGCTTGTACCTCAGCAGCCCGAACGTTTATTAGGATACAATCCTATGCCTGGACACGATTTTATTTTAGGATTAGTATAATAGAATCAATGGAGACTTGAAAGGTTCCCATGTAGTAAGACTAACGGTAGACCCCTATAAAAGTTACAATATCTATTTCACATGCAGTGTGTTTTGTTTTCCCATTTTTGCAAGTGTGGAGAGGAAAGAGTAGTTTGAACAGTTCTATTAACAAATACCATGAAAATGGGATTCATCGAGGTCAGTGTGTTAACCTTATTTCAAGTTGAATGAAACCCTGACTCCATGTCCTTGTTCAAGTCCGGTAAAATTAAACACATTAAGATATATATGTACATTAACTTACCTCTGCGCTAGTCAGATTTTTATCTGGTCCAGATAAATAAGGGATAAGGAAGGGTTCTGAGGGTCTCATCACGGAGAAAAATCCAAATAAGCAGAGGATCACGGTGGGATAAATCCAGGAACGGCTCGGTGAAGTTCGGAAACAACCCATGGCTGATCAAACGGAAACAGAGCCAAAATTAACTCATTTTGTCCTTGGATGTAATGAAAAACTGATTATTTCTAAATGCTTTATGAAAGGATAAAGTTTCATTCATCTGCAGCCGAAATGGAGAGGTGAGTGATGAAGAACTGCTCTCAAGTATCTCGTAGGTGACCCAATCAAACCCTCCTTTGTCAAGGAACTTCTTATTCATTAGTGCTGGGAGCAGAGTCACACTTCACTAGTGTTCTCCATCACAAACATGGTAATGAGTAGCTACGAATAAATGGTAAACAGTAGGCCAATGAATGTTTGAAAATAAGTATAGAACATTGGCTAGGGAATTATTGGTGTACATATGGTAGGTAAGGTACTTCTAGGAGGTCAAAATCATGAGAACACAGATTAAGTTGATCAAATCTTCTATTATCTGACAACTATGTTTGCACTATGACACTAAAATCTTTAACATATTGAATGGCATGTGTGTATTTACACATTTATCTCTCCATTAGACTATCCCTGCTTAGTATTGTGCTTAACACATCATAGACATCCAGGATATTTTTGTTAGGTGTCTCTAATCTAAGAATTTATAATTCTTCAGTTAAAAAAATTAAACTGGATAAAGATCTGACTTGCCATCTTTTCTATATTTTTCCCCTTTTCCATACTGGTGCTAACTCTATGTTGAGAACAGAAGCCATCCTTTCTTAGACTGTTATTTCAGTTTTCTTTGCGACTGGCCCCATTTCTTCCCTAAACCTGCAGTTTCACACCACTCAATGGGGCAGGTAGCTAATTAACAGTTCATATTTTTTTCCTAACTCAGAAATAAAATCGCTTGAAATTCAAACTTCAGACAGAACACCCAAGGGAGGATCTCATTTGTCACTGCGCAGAAAAACAAAACAAAGCCAAAAATCCCCCTTATTTTATGGTGGCGATATTTGAAAACATCTTGCTTTTTCATGTGGATTACAAAGTGTATAAAGAAAATTCACTCTCATTCTTTCATATTTTGGGTCAAGCTTTACTTTGCAAAGTGTATATGTTTTTGGTGGTCTTGGATGTAGTTAATTTCTCTGAGATAATTTACAGGAAAGAAACCAACTTGCTGTGAGAATGATGCTTTTCTGCATATTATCTCATTAAATCCTCATAATAACTGTAAAATACATACTACTTTCCCAAACTCCCAGGTGAGTATATGGGAGATCCAAGATGTCCAACAACTGGCTTCAAACCCCATGGTCAAGATTTGAATCCAGGTCTCCCTGACTCCCATCAGGGTTCTTGCACCTGCTCCACTCTGCCTCAGTCTGGTGGCCTTTTTCCCTCAGCTGCTGGTATTAACCTAATGTCAACCTCTCCCCAGTGAGGGAAGAAAGTGTTTTCATGAACACATTCTTACTAAATATTATGGCTTAACACATAGAGCTGCCACGGGTAATTATAGTTTGAAAGTGGGCCAGAGAGAGGAAAGATGATGCTCACTCCAGAAAAGCAAGCCACCAGTGTGGAATTCCAGATATCCACGGGGAGGAACTTTGCTAGAGGCTAGGGAGGTAGGGAGAGCCTACTGGGTCACACCTCGGTTCTACCACCCACCCTACCTTCTCACAAGGTCGCCCCAGATAGCTGCACAGTTCCTCTCTTAGGTTAAAAAAGGTGAACACTGTTTCCATTTATGTCAACAAAACCCTTGACGAAGCAGTGCATAAACAATGGAAATCTGAATTTGGAATTGGATTGCAGCAACTGTGAGCAATGCTGACAATGTGAAAACTTCGCGGAGGGCACATTGGGTTTGTCCTCCACCTCCTCCCTGGGCCCAGAATACATGGATTTATCTTCTTCCTGAGTACTGCTAGAGTTTTCTGGGGCCTTCTTTCTTTGTGAGTAATGTTCTTGTAGAAAAGGCTAGCCCAGGTAGGCAACTACTGAGGCTTGGCTGTCTTTCAAAGGGTAGTTTTAATGGAGTGGCATCTGCTGACTCTACTTCTAGAACATTCTCTCCATCTATGCTAACCATGGTTTGCTCACCAAGTCCAAGTCATCATCTTCTCCACAAATCTCAGAGACCTAGAACTATGTCCACGATCCCTGGGCTGCTAAGAGTCGCCTGGATTACTGACTTCTTCATCTCCTAACTGTTCTAATACTGCTTCCTGATTGGATTTAGTTGGGAAGGTAGAGCAGAAATAGACAGTATATGCCCAATTCGAGTGTAAGCAAGAGAGCAGTGCATTTTTTCTGTTTGGATCATTGCTCTATTCTTGTGCCTAGAAGAGTGCCCAACACACAGTAAGTCTTGTAGGAGGAAGGGGATGAATGTCAGACCTCCCCACTGAGAACTAGTAAAGCTCTGTCTGGGTTTCCTGAGTGCACTTCCCAGCTGCATCAGGTAAAGACCAGGGAGGCCTTTGACTCCACAAGTGCCCTGTTGTTCAGTTGCTCATCTGTAAAATGGGATAACAATGCCAACTGCATGTATGGGCTTTTTGGAAGCATAGAGGGCCTTGATACTAGAAAGGACTTGGCACCACATTGGGTACGGAATCGTGGCTCCAACACATGATTTCTCATCCTTTTGCTCTCTTCATTGTTGGAGGACTCAACAGTGATTCTGGCTTAACGAGGAGAAAATGAGGGAGGGTGTCTGACCTTAGCTGAAAACAATAGAGAAATATTTGGGGAGCTCATCCCTGCACCCCAGGATGCTGGGCTTCCTCTCCTTACTCCTTTTTCTAGCCCCCTCCCCTGGAAACAAACACATGCTCCAAAGCTAGCATTTTTGCCAGAGGAAATGAAAGAAGGCATCTAACCAAACATTAGCGGGAGTCCTTTAACCCAGAGGGACTGGGAGAGCAGCTGAAGTTCCTGGTTTAACAGCAGCAGGAGCTTTCAGAGACCACGTCTCACTTGTTGGCTATTCTTCAGCCTTCAGGGCCACAGCCACTGTCACTGCCCGCTCTCTGCTGGGAGACTTCTGAGACTCTCAGCTGCTAACGTCTGGCTCTTCTCTTACCTCCCCCCAACTCAGAGTCTCATTGTCCAGCACTTGCCCCACTGTGTAACCCTTTCTCACCCTGGCCAGTTAACACAGACTGTGTGAACTTGACTCGCACATCGGAATCACCTAGGAGCTTGTTAAAAAGATAGATTCCTGGACTCCATCCCTAAAGTGTGATTCAGTAGGTATAGTAAGGCCCAGGAATCTGCATCTATACACTGAGTGATTCGGCCGCAGGAGGCCCAAGGACTACTGTCCCTTATCTATCCACTGGGCTCACTGGCTCCATGCCACAGCCTTGGATCTTAACAGGGTGGTGAGCAAAGTGAATGGAAATCATCTAGAGAGCTTTTTCAAAGCTACACACAGACCCATAACTCTGAAATTCTTTTCTGGCCCTCTAGGCCCTGGAGAGTCCAGGATAGGTGGAAAAATCCTCTGGTGATTCTGATGTTTCGGATATGCCTCTCACACCCTGCCCAACCCACTAACCCCTTCATGTGCACACATCGCTCCCTGTGCATCACCCATTCTGTCCCAACCAGCCTCAATCCTTATTCAGGAGGGGCCCTGGAATGACTGTGTTTAGCATTGAATGAAGGTTCTGGCTCCTTCAGTTACCACAGCACACAGGCGTCTGACATCCTCCAGCCCAGCATGACCCTTCACCCACCCTCTGAAGGCAGTGATTATTTTCCTTACATCAAGTCTGCCACTTACATAGTTAAAAATGATAACAACCTACCAGCTATTTTGTACTTAGTTCCTGCTTTACACCAAGCATTAGACTAGCCACTTTATATAATTATTTGTCTCTAATCCTTAGAAAAACCCTAATTATATATATTATACATATATTTACATATTTTATATTATACAATATAATTATATAAATATAATAAATATATTTATTATATAAATAATAAATATTGTTATATTAAATAAATTTAATTATATTATATAATTATATATTTTATATTTTTATTATACTTAATATTAACAAAGTATATATTAGTTATATATATATAAAATGTCCCCAGTTTCTCAGACACGGGAACTGAGCCTCCTCAAAGCTCATGGCCAGCCAGCTAAGAAAGGTTACAACTGAGCTCAGGGTCTGGTCTGTTGGCTTCAAGTTCACATCCTCCCTCTGCTCCGATGGGTAGCTAGCTACCTCCTACCTCCATGGCACCATTCCCATCATCTCGATGTTTTCCTCTCCTCATTTTCTTGACAGCTACCTGCAAAGGCACTGTCAACGTGGGCTCTGAGATTCCCACTGAACAAACTGGGAACTGCCAAAGTTGTTCTCTCTCCTGCTGGAGAAGCCTGTGGCTAATGATCTCATAATGCTTGGAATTATTGATCAGCATCTTTTATTTTTATCTCATCATTGAGAAGATGCTGCTCTTTTCTGTCATGGTGACTATGATTATGATAATCAAATCACTTATGCAATCTCTATAACTTTTACATTTGGAAAATTATTTTATTTTTTCTTTGACAATTTTGTGAGGCAGACAGAGGAGATGCTCTTGTCCTCATTTTATAGATGGGGAAACTGAGGGCCACAGGCAATAAGATCTGTGTGGTTTTCACATTTAACCATTGTCAGAGCCTGGACTTGGACTCAGTTTTTCTAATTCCAAGTTCAGTCATCTTTCCTGTTACACCGTGTTGAGAGTGCCTGGTTATATCCTCAAAATTCCAATTCCAGTTTATTTTAGAATACTGTTTTTCAGATTTTGGGTGTCAAAAACATTTAGTGGGTTGCAAATAGGATTTTTTAGCAAATGTTGCAGAAAAAATATTAAATATCAAAGTACACTGCAGAGTAGAGCTGTTTTTCTCTGAAACTTTTCTTGGGTTATCAATATATAAATATACAAAAATGATCACACTGTGCATTACAACTTACTGTAGGACACAGTTACTGGGTTAGAAGTTGCAGAGGAAAGAACAGGACTAATATCTACTCATGTAGAGTAGATATTATGAGTACACCTGTCTGGGAGGGCCACAGCCTTCACGGCAAAGCATCGTTCCGGAACAGACTGTTCTCTTGTTATTTTTCAATCTGTCATTCCATTTTCACCTGATAATATTATCCTCCTCCTAAAGAATATTCTAAACTTCCCTTCATTGAATCTAACTTGAGGACATGAACTGGGTTGGTACTTCTGAAAGCAAGATATGTATCTTCCCCTCTTTATTTTCTGTGATTTCCAAATAACATAATCCTTTTAAAAAGTTGCTTCTGGGGCAGTAATTCACACATATTACTCACATGCTTCATCACCATTTTTAAAAAGGTATAGGAACACTCTGTGGACAGTAGGCTAAAAGGGAAAAAAAATAAAAAGGACATTCTCCAAACAAAAGTCAGCTATCAGGCTATCATGACTTGAAATCTACAGTGAAGATGTTGGAAGCAACAAGAGAAGCTCTCCTTCTAGCAGAGACTTGGAGCAGCTAAATCTACCACAGAGCTTACCTTGTTGTGCTGGGTCCTGTAGGGGAGGTCTTCGGAGGGAGTGCTCTAGCTAGCAAAAGTAGCTGGAGGAAGGGAGTGCTGAGCATTAGCTTCTGCTATGATGGTCCCTGGCAGGTTGAAGTCTCCCTGCTCCATCCCTCTAGCCAATGAGAGAATACCTGCTTCTGATCCAGTTGCAATATCTGCACACAAGTGCAGCACATCATGTGGGCCCTGGGAGTACACGTCCACAAGCACTCTCGGGGTTACCCGCCAACCCATGTGACCTTGAAGGAGTCCCAAAGACCACCAACACCTTTGCATGGAAAGTGACCCACCTAAATGACTTTGGAAATGGTGTGTTCCTTTCTCTTTTTGCTGGTTGAAGAATAACAATTATTTTTCATTCAAGTTCACAGCAGTCCCACCAGGGGCCCTTCAGTATTCTATTGTTAAGTCTCTAGCTTCTCTCAACCTCTAATCTGGGTCCTTTTCTACAAAGCCACATATTTTTATGGCTGCTTCCCTTTCTTCAGGGTACGTTGGATGCTGTAGCCTTCTTCAAAATAATAACCCCCTTGCTAGCATATCTAATCCAACTTCATTTTAAGGTATGCATAGATTTTTCTTCATCTCCTAAAAACATTAAGATTTACTTGTGTTTCCACTATGATCAAGTTGGGCTGGGTATTTAGAATATTTCTAAATATATATTTCCATTTGCGTAGAATACGTAATTTTAAAAAGAACTGTAGAAACTGGCATACACCAGTGGGCTTTCTGGCTCTTGATCCCTAGGTAGACTTCTTAGCTAAGGAGGACTTTAACTGATCAGATTCCTCCACTCACTCCCAGAAGATGGAATTCTTTGGAAATGAAGAACCAATGAAATGAACCAATGTAGACATGAAAGCCAAAGCTTTCAGAGCTGTGGAGCTCCCTGAGGTAAGGGACAAGATGACCTGGTCAAAGCAAAGATCTTCCCCAAACCTGGTTTTGCAAAGGTTCCCCGCAACAGAAAGCCCAGAGTATAAGGAACTGGGTCAATGGAAAGGAAGCATTTTATCAAATCTTCTTCTATGCTTGTTTAGAAGATACTTCCAGAATTAACTAAGATGCCAAAAATTTCAAAGGAAACTATCTAGAGTCCCCAGTCTCCATCCAATTCCTGTCCAACCCTCCCAACTAAACATTCTAATCGTCTCAGAAGGGTGCCTGACAAGACAACCAATGTCTGAGATGTGGGCTGGCCTCATGTTCACATTATTCCCCAGAACATTTACTGCAGTCAAAACACCTATCTCAAATACCAGAGCACTAGATTGATAATTTAAAATAATTATGAATCTCACAGCCTCTAAAATTCCAAAGGACTTGGACAGCTGGGCAAGAGAGATGACATTTGCAAATGGTTTCAGTCCCCAAGGCCCAATGCCTTTTCAAAAATAGAGTTAGCATCGGTATTTATTACATTTTCCCAAAGAAATCCACCTTTCAGGTTTTCAACACTGCCAGAGACAAGCCCTTCATTGGACAGAAGCAAACCAAAAGTTGGATTGCTGAAAACTAAAATATTTACTTTCAGTTGATATCAGAGTATAATAACTAATTAAGCCTTTTAGTCTACTTACTACTAAAATAGAAGAGAATATAACTTGGAGTAAAACATCCAGATAAAGCAAAGAGCTGCAGTTCGCTTATGGCAAGGCAGGCTGGTGCCAGAGGAAGGCACAAGGAATTCCGGAGAATTGCTTCATTACTACACTTCTGTTGCAAAATCAGGATTGGAAGGTGGTTTCACCAATTTCTAGTGAGCTATTGTATTTTGGCTGTGACTTCATCTTGTTTAAAATGCATTTAACTGATCTCTACCTCACTCCATACACAAAAATCTATTTGATATAACAAACTCTAGACCCTTAGAGTACCATCTAGAAGAACACAGATTTTTGTGACCTAGGAATTAGCAAATATTTTATCAAAATGACAAACAGACTAAACTTACAAGGAAAAAAAAGATGAATTGAATTTTATCAAAAAAAGTATCTGTTCATCCCATTAAGAAATTGGAAAACCACAGAGAACATTATTATTCACAAATATTAGAATGCCTAAGTATCAAAAGACTAGCATACCGATTATTGGCAAAGATTTAAAGCAATTGAATTCCTATACATTGCTTGTGAGAATGTAAAATGGCACCAAATTCTTTGGAAAACCATTTGGCAATCTATACAAGAAAGTTCACATATCCAAAGTAGTGAAAAAACGGGAAGCAACTGAAATGTCTACTAAATGGTGAATGAATAAACAATATTGTATATTTAAGCAACTAATACTGATTCAATCAGCAATAAAAAGAAATGAACTATTGCAAAAACTTGGGTGAATATCAAAAACATTATGCTGTGGCAAAGAATCCAGACACAAAACTGTATGATTCCATTAACACATATAAAGTCCTAAAATAAGTAAAACTTATCTATAGTGATAGAAATTGGTTCAGTGGTTGCCTGCGATGGGAGACAGGGGAGGGACTGACCGCAGTAAAGCACCAGAAAACTTTCTAGGGTGACGAAATGCTCTATATCTTGATTGTGGCAGTGGTTACAAACTTACATACATTTGTCAAAACTCATTGATAATGTACATTTATTACATGTAAACTATATCTCAATAAAGCTGTCTTGGAAAAAAGAAATGAATCACTGATACTGTCAGAGACTAGTGCCCTGAGGAACTCAAAGGTGAGTCTGAAAGGATTTAACTGTTGTTATGTTAAGGAGACAACCAGTAGCCACCCTGAAGCTGACCAAGCCTCCCTATAAGAGCTGTGCCCATGACCTTACCTTATTTTTAATGTGAAGGTCTCTTCAAGAGGAGATTAAGCCTCATTACCACAATCTGCAGTGTAGTCGCCTCTCCCTTTTGAATATTCATTCCCTAACCAAATGAAAGTTCCTCCTTCCCCTTGTTTGGGGTTGACATGACTTTGGAAATGATTCCTCATGGACTCCTATTTGCTGCAAATACACTTTACTTTGTGAGACAACTTCCACTGGTGTAGAGTCTTATTTAACTCACCAGGAGGTGAGCCCACTTGGTTTGGTAATAATACATGGGACAAAACAAATGAATCTCAAACATTACACTTTGTAAAAAGAATCCAGACACAAAAAGGCCGTCCTATATGATTCCACTGCTGATAGAAATCAGAACAGTGGTCGTCTCTGAGGTGGGGGTGGGAAGATTGGGGGTGATGAAATAGTCTATATCTTGATGGAATATAGTTACCTGGGTAGATACAATTATAAACACTTAAACTTAAAATCTATACATTATATTGTATTAATTATATTTCAATTAAAAAAAAATACATCCTTCCCTCCTTCTCCTACTTCAAAGCATTTTGCTGTGTAGGAATCCCCACAGCCCTGGACTTTTTCTGTTGGCACAATGACTAAGATTTTTCCAAATTCCACATGGGGCAAGGTCTCTATTTAATCTGAAAGTGGCCCAGCATCTTTGAAATTCGGTCTGTCCTTGAAAATTGAGAATGGAAACAATGCCTATAAATCAAAGCCAGAACAGACCAAGAAACTCTGGAAGTCTGGCCACATAGAACATTCTTCAAAATAATACAGAGATAATCAGTACGTGTTCCTTCCGTGCCCTGAGTTTATTTCCTTCTAGAACCAAGTCCCGTTTCCTGCCTTCAGATCCAACTTCTGCTTGTTCCTGCTGCCAGCTGCTGAGAGTCTCAGTCACAGTTGCCCCTTCTCACTGGAGTCTTGAGTCCTCCTCCTTCAGAACTGAGCAATCAAGAGCAATGGCTTTATACACCAAGGCCCAACCCCCTTTGATGGATTTATACACTAGAACTCACTCTCTTCTGCAGCCACCCCCTTTTCGAAACCCATTAAAAAAAATAGAGAACCAGATTCAGATCTTTCTGAAACACAGATGATTAGGGAGATAAACATCAAAAAACACTTTTCCCTGAATGTTAGTACTAAAATAATGTAATTTAGTTTCTCTAGAATTTTGTATTAAGGGACAGAATTGCAGAAAACCACGAAGTAGTCCTATCACCTATCACTCAGTCATAATCCTTTTTGTAGCCACCCCGCAAAAAAAAAAAAACCCAAAACCCTAGAATCTTTGCTGAAATGAAGTACTCCACAGAACTTCACAAGATATGAATAAGGCCCAGATATTAAATATGTAGGCCAGAATAGTTCTGCTTTTGGTTAAAACCATTGCAAGAGTAGATACAAGTGATCTTTAAAATGCATGCTTCAGATTCCATTTTGTCGTATGTGGCACCATTCCTTTTTGCTTGCGTGACCCATTTGCTGATGAATTAACCATCCCCTTCCAGATTGTTTACCCTTGAATGTCTATGGTTAGATCAATCTACTCTCAGGTGCAGCTGGAGAAATATGCCTATCAAAACCATAAAACTGGCGGACAGCTTACATAGAAAGTCAACTGATCATGTCTAGCCACTGAAATGCATGTGGGTAACCGGTCGAGTGAACATGGGTTGGGGTGGGGGTGGGGAAAAATGTGTGCTTCAAGAACCATGCATTGTTTGAGTTATTTTATACCTCTGTAAATTGTAGTAACTGATAGCAATGTGCAATAATTCTTGTCTATAGACGTGCAAATAAGTTCTGTCCAATGATGGGAACTCTTCCCCTGTCCCCCATGGAAAACCAGTTTTACCTCTATTTCAATATTCCTGATCTATAAATGTACCCATTCTTTGGATTCTCCTTTGATCTGGTTGTAACAGCCTTACCAGTTTCCTCATTAATGAGTTACTAAAATCTTTAACGCATGTTCATTTTTATATCTGATTGATAGTCATGACTTTATCCTTTTGCAACTGTGCCTCTAGCCTATCCAAATAACTGCCAATTTATTCCTTTGAATCTAAATGATTTGGTAACAGTTGTTAAATTACCGAATCAACTTTAATATCCTGACATCTCACTGCAGACCTTCCCAGTCTTCGTTTTTTTTTTTTTTTTTTTTCTCTGCAGGTTTGGGTTTGTGGTGGCCAGTGTGGTCCCGTGGAAAGACCATGACTTAGAAATCTGAAGCTCATGTTCCTCTTGGCCCCTCCTGTTTGTGGCACATACTTCACCTCTCCAAGCCTATCGTTAAAATGTGGATAATCACAGCCACCTCACAAAGTTGTCCCGGGAACTACTCAATCTGGTTTTCAGTACATATTATGCACTCAATATAGCTTCCTTCCCATCGACCTCACACAAGCTCACACCGAAAATTCAAACAAATGAACACAGTGGGGCACTCACAGATCAGAGCAATTTCAGAAAGGTACACAGTGGATAATTTCACCTAAACTGCTAAGGGCCGGCAGGCTAAATAAATTCATCTTTGAATATTTATGCTTGAATTGAGTTTCCCCTTACCCAACCTTAGAAACCATGGTTGGTCCATAACCAATTATGACCAAAAGAAATTAGTGTTTTTGTCCATGTCAGCTCTTGCTAAAACAATTTGAAGAAAAAGCTATTTGGAAGTTAGTTATGTCTTGGTCTATTTAAAATACGTACTTTAATGAAAACACACCTTTTGCTTTAGGAGACACGGATGTGTTCCAATACCTGTCAAGCAAAACGCTTATGTGTGAGTATTTTTAGAAAACATTATTTCCTTCACCCTTTTCAAACTTGAAGCACTCTGTAAGCTCAACGCTTCTGCATATTTACAGTAGCAACACTGACTTGACAAATACTTGTTAGACATATTATTTGATGAATTAGGTATCCTTTCCAGCAATATTATTGTAAGGTATGGTTATGTTTTCTTTTAGTATTAATTAAAGTAGTCTCAATCGAGCCCCGGGTCTCTTAACTTCCAAGTCCCCTTTCTTTTCCTCACTAGGACTTTTCACCATTCTTGGATTGTGATTTGGAATTCTGTGATAAGGTTTCTTTTCAGTTAAAATCTGTGAACGCGGGTGTAACCATGGGGGATGCTGGCCCTTTATTTTGGCCTTATTTAATCTGCTTTTTCAGATGGCTGAAAGAATGCTAGCCAAATGTACTTGGGCGAGCCTCAGCACTGCAGCCTGCAGTACGAGGAACGGCCCGCCCCCTGCCTCGGGCTCCAGGATGCAATCCGGGCCGGCCCCAAGAAGCCCGCTGCAGCACAGGTACCCGCCGGCCCGCGCTCCGGAAACTGGGGCATGGGGAGGGCTGCAGCCAAGGGATGATGGCGTTTCTTCGATTAATTCACCTACGGGAGCTCCTCTTACCTGTAGGAGCCGCTTTCTGTTGCCCAGATCGCTCACACGCCCGGATAACAAGCTCCTGGGACCACCAGCCCTTCTGTCGCAGGAAGCCTAGCTCTAGAGGTAGTGGCGGGGCGGGGGCGGGACGGAGCCCGGAGGCCCTCCCCAATGTTCTGCATATGCTAATTTAGGCTTCCATAACCTTTAAACTGGAAGCCAGAATCCGTGGTCTGTGAGCAAACACCATCAGCTTTGTACCTGGAAGGAACAGCTTAAAGTAATGTACTGATACCGCAAAATCAACGTAACAAAGTAGGACGAACTGAGTGCAGTGTCCAACATCTGCTCTACTTATAAAAACATCCTTTCCTATAAGTCCACTCATTTATCCGAAAAACTTATGAGAGAGTTACAGCTATGATCCCCATTCTGCATATGAAGAAAGCGAAGCAGAAGGAAGTAAGACTAGCAGAGAAGCCTGGATTTTTTTCGGGGCATCCTGGCTCCAGAGCCAATGTTTATAATCATTATGTATTTTTTTTTTAAGGTGGGGGGGTGGGGTAGTTTCCTAGCACTTTGAGAATTTTCTAATGCAAATAGTTCATATATTAAATATTGTTTATTAAGTGGGTTTTTTTTTTTAAAGCAGTATAAAGTTCTCATTGGTTAAAATGGAATATTTTTTAAAAATTTTCTTGTTTATTTGTTGGTGGAAATGGAAACCCTCCCCCAAAATAAACACTGCTTGGTTTCTAAGGGCTACTAGCTGTTAATCAAATTGATTAAAATTCCCCTAGGTGTCTTGGGTCATTGTCTTATTGATTTGGATTTTCTATTCTCACCCTCCTATGACTTGTGGAAAGTCCGCCTATAAATTATCAAGATGCATCTCTGGAGTTGGAGTACCCTGTTCATTGTGCAACAGAGTGCCCTTGTAAATTGCCAGGCCCTCCCTGAGAACATGGCGGAATTTTCTTAATGGTTGAGGGTATCATAATTTCTTCCACACCTCTCACCAAGAGGTGACCTCAATTTCGACCTTAAAAAGTTTACCTGACATCTCACAGGCATAGTCTAAATCGGAAAGAGATGATAAGGAATTTATTCATTCGTAGAAAAGCAAACATATTTGCTGATGAGGTGACACAAGGTCTGGATTTGGTTCTGAAAGACCCAGTGGTAGAAGGGGTGTGGGTGACGTCACAGACGACGAGAGATGGGCCATGTGTTGATAATTGTTGACCTGGATGTTGGTTCTTGGGAATTTATTGTACTATTCCCCACTTTTGTGTATGTTTGGGATTTTCCATAATAAAATCCTAACCCCCAAATGTGATGGTATTAAGAGATTGGGCCTTTGGAAGGTGATTTGGTCATGACAGTGTAGTCCTCAGGAATGGGATTAATGCCCTTAGAAATGAGACCCCAGGGAGCTCTCTCTTTTTCTTTCTACCACATGAGGATGCAACTAGAAGTTGGCCATCTGCAACTTGGAGGAGGGCTCTCACCATAACCTGACCATGCTGGTACCCCCATCTTGGACTCCATCCTCCAGAACTGAGGGAAATAAATTTCTATTGTTTGTCAGCCACCCAGTCTGTGGTATTTTGTTATAGCAGGCTGAAATGAGACAGTTGTGATCAGGTAAAATAACTTGACCAAAGAAGAATCATTGGGCAAGCTTCAAAGAGAGACTGAGAAGGCTGTGATAGGCTGTGAAAAGGTGGAGTCTTCCTACCCAGCCTGGAAGAGACAGGAATTGAGGGAGAGGAGGCATAAGATGAGCACCAGGCCAGTTACAAGAGGGCAAAGTTTGCTGGTGGCATTCTCCCAGCTCTGTTTTTATGCCTCTCTCCTACTTCCTGGAGCATCACTTTTCTATTCCCTACCACCTAAGTCTCTTGGAAGCCCTTTTGAGCTCCCTGGGATACTCAATATTGTAGAAAGGTTATCTCCCTGGGCTTCTTCCCTAGGCCTCCAGTCTTCTCATCAGTGACTTGGGGCAGCCAGGAGTCTGAAGGCAACCTTCTGGTCCAGCTATGGCACCCACCCTTCCCCTCACCATCATCACTTGCATTTCTTTATATTCCTTTCTCCCTTCCTGAAAGGGTGAAAGATAGAATGCTGGTTTATGTTGAGTAGCAAAACAGCACGGACTTCACATGGTTTTTTTATGCTTTGCTCTCTCTACTCCACTTCTTAAAAAGGGGGCAGCATTTTGTTTTGTTGGTATTGCTAGAATTGCCTGTGGTGTTCTCGCTATCGATTGCCTGCCTTCCTGTGGTATTTGACACAAGAGAAACTAAATGAGAGCACAGATAAATTTACTCCAACGAACATTTTCCAAGGACTTGCTCCCTGTCAGTATGACGGCACAGGTAAGTAAGAAGGGGAGAGCCCCCCTGTCCTCTTTCACCAGCCACCCCAGGTCCTTAGCCCCTTCGGGATCATATGTCCCAGGGATTCTCTCCAAAAATTTAAAAGGAAAGAAGAATTTCATACAAAATTCTTTTGCAGACTTTAAGGGACCATCTCAACACTTGCCTCCTTTTCCAGAGTGCTGTGTTGAGGGATACCCCACCTTTCCTGCCTATAGAGCCCTGGGTCTCAATGGGCAGCAATTTTGCCCCCCGAGGGATATTTAACCATGCCAGGAGACATTTTTGATTGTTATAACTGGGAGAGACACTGTCATAACTGTGGGTAGAGGCCAGGGATGCTGCTCAACATCCTACAAGGCACAGGACATCCCCCACAGCAAGGAGCTGTCAGTAGTGCCACAGTCAAGAAACTGCTCTAGTGCTTAACATTTCCAAGGCATTTTCCCACCTATTATTGCAAAACAACGTAGTTGCCTGAGACTCACCTGAAAGAAAATTATCCCTCACTTGAAAGATGCATGGAGTCTCTGACATGTACGGAGTACTGTGCTGGAATGTTCTGTAATGGGAAGTTTTGTGCCATTATTTGCTCTGTGATTTAGAGCAGGAACTAAGGCCGGGGGTAGGGCCACCTATATCAGACACGTGAAATGTGCAATATGCGTCATGTCAGTTG